TTTCCCGGTCCGTTACTCGTATCTGTGTTTGAAATGACAAATCTCCGTTTTGTTTACGAATTTCATCAGCCGCACACACTGGGTATCTTTTCAATATATTTTCTAGCTGGTAATTATCCATTTTAGAAAGTGAACCGAGTCCAGTCAATATCCGTTTTACGCTTCTTAGGCGCCGACGTTTTAATATTGGAATCACGTAATCGTTTTACTTCCGACTTTGCCATTTCAACCGCTTGTGCCACGGGGCTAACCATATTAACCACCGGGCGTTGTACATTTTGAAGATTCTCTTCCGTTTCTTTAAGCTTTTTCTCCGTTTCTTTGAGCTTCGTTTCTAGTGTCACGAGCCTCCTACGCGAATTACCGCTACCTATAATGTAACGGCCTCTATGATCGGGTGTCACGTAACCGTCTCTCAAATCTTTAAAATGCTGATACCATTTATCTGGGTCATCTATATACGGCACCCATTTTTGTTGTTTATGATCGTACACCTCTATGGAACCCATGTTGTGTTTTGAAAGTAAAGGAGCAAAGATCATTCTTACGGTATTTTTATTCTTCATCTGATATGTGATCTTCATCGTCATCATCTTTATTATTCTCACCATTACAATCAATGTTGTGATTGGGCCATAACGCCTCAAACAGGTCTTTTCTAAGTTTAACGGCTTGTCGAATAGATTCTTCAATGGTCATGTCGTGCTGATGTCTAAGTTTCTTCGCTGACTGGAGAATTTGTTGCTGAGTGGGGTCCTCTTGTAATGCGTAAAAGTCAATCAGAAACTGGGCATAATTTTGTCTCATCTTCTTTCTCAAATGTGGCAACGCATCATTAGCAGTGCGAGCATAAGCCTCATCAAAAGAGTACTCTTGATCTATGTAACTGTTTGGCCCGTCTTTAAATTGTTCTTTACAAGACTGTCGTAAAGGCTTTTGAAATCTTCTATTCCATATGTCATGACGTTTGCGTTCTTCTTTGAGCTCTTCTTTTATACGCTTATCAGGAGGTCCCATAAAGAAAGCTTGTCTCTTTACACCTATATCACCACCCTCTATATGCTCTTTATCAGTATCATCATCTACATCTTCATCATCATTTGCATCTTCATCATCATCATCGTCATTTATCGTCGTGTCAGACGAATTACCTTCACCGTGTAACTGGTTCTCTGGAGGTATATCCATCCGTTTTCTAAGTTCTGGATTGTTGGCCTCAAAAATGTCATTACGTAAACGATTATGTTCAGGTGTACTGGATTTAAGATCTATTACCAAATAACGGTAACGTTTCGACGTAGCTTGTTCGAACCGTTTCATAAAGATGGCACTGGATGTGGGATATATTCTTTTGGCCAATGTCGCCACTTGTTGTCTGTCGATAGGATTATTGAACAATATCAGGTACTGGGTATTTAAAGCGATGTCCCTGCAAGCTTTTCCTTGAGGAAATGAATTCTGGGTGAGATAGATGATATATACGTTTCTGTGATGGCTGCCTTTAGTAAAAAGATCGGCAATTCTCTGGTCGCATTTGCCTTCTGTCATCAAATCGTCAAAAACAATCAGGTTCCTTTTGCTGGCGTTGATGTACTCGGGATTATTCAAGTAGTCGGGAATACCGTGTACAAATTCTATCCAAGGTATTCTACGCTGAAGTTCGTCATACAGAGGTTGCCATTGTCCGAAACACCATATGATGCGTTCAGGCGGCTGACGTACTAGGTTAGATAACAGCAGTGTTCTGGTCCATTCTGTTTTTCCACTACCACTGGGTCCGGAAACAACCATGGAAAAAGGGTGCTGAAATGTCATCTTTTCTGAAGTTTTCCCTTGAGTTACTTCTTGTAATAGAGAATTACTTTTAACTGTGTCGTTACTGCTATGCATATAACGTTCATGTCTTCGCATGTTGTCAAGCCTAGAGAACACCTGATTACATACAGAACACTTATTCATTTTAGTAGCAAGATTTATGAAAGTTGAAGAAATCTGCCTTCTTACAAGTTTATTTAACGATTCTTACGTTTGCAGATACAGGAAAAAACTTCCTCTCCTTCTCTTCCGCCACCTCCTTCTCCTCCTTCCCTCCTCCTCTTCCTTCTCTACCTGCTTCTCCTCCCCTCCTTCTTTACCTCCTCCTCCTACACCTCCTCCTTCTTCTTTTCATCCTCCACTTTCTCCACCTCCTCCACATCCTCCCCTCCTTCTCCTTCTCCCTCCTCCTCCACCTCCTCCCCCTCCTCCTCCACCTCCATCTCCTCCTCCTCCTCCTCCACCTCCTCCTCCTCCTCACTTGTTTTATGTATTTTTACACATTGCAAGGAACGGTTGTCCAACCTGCTTTAGAGTCAATCAGAATACTGTCTTATCAGTGAGCAAGCAGAACGCTTCTTTTACTCCATTTATTACGATTAACCATAGCGATTCATTCATTGCCGATTTAGATAGCGAGCAGTAAAGGCTGGGGGTAAGCTTATTTTAGTTATTTTAATGATTTTTACGCATGATTGATTTCACTTGCGGTTTGTTAGTTCCAGCTTGTAGCATTTGTCAAGACCTTCCGGTATGAACTTTACTATTAACAGCGTCTGAAAGTACTCTTGAATACCTTTAATTTGATACCAATATGGATAACATCGACCCATAAATAAGGACGCCACACTCATTTGAATATTTTCAAACAATTTAGTGCAATAATGCTTTATCTTACATCGGTGGTTAAAATACACTAAGTCTATATTTGTAATATCTCAGTAACTCATAATGATAGACCCATAAACCTATACATTTTCTTAATCTTCTCGTCGAGATCTTTTTAACGGTATATAAATTAAAGGGTTTTGTAAACTTTGAAAATTTGGGTTTAAAAATCGCTGTTACGTAATAACTCTGTAAGAGTTGAAAATCGAATCGACAATGGGGTGTAAATTAATGGTATTGAACTGTTCTTGCAACAACTCATTGGCAAAAATTCAGACAATTTATTACTGTAATATGGCAAATAAACTAAAAGAACAATCATGATCATCTACGGATTGGTGGAAAACTTTAAAACATTCATTTCATCTGCAACCAGTCAAACAATACCCCCACTTAAGAGGAACACAAACAAATTACATTTTTCTGACGAAGAGAAGGCAAATCTCCTAAATCAATATTTAATGGTCCTCTTTTCTTTTTCATATTTATTCACGATATTGTTAAAGATATAAAATCTTGTATCAATTTATTCGCCCATGATACTAGTCTGAAAATCCACAAACAGCTGCTATCACATTACAGTCGGATAAAGACAGAATTTCATTATGGGCAGATACATGGCTTGTTTCAATTAATCCTTCTAAATCTGAGTCTTTAATAGTCTTTAGAAAGAGATATCCAAATCAACACCCAGAACTACAAATGAGTAATCAGACTATTACTGAAGTTTCTGACCAAAAACATCTTGGAGTTTTAATTTCGAATAACTGCACCTGGCACTCACATATAGAATATATAACAAATAAAGCATGGAATAGGGTAAATATTATGAGAAAACTTAAATTTCGCCTAAATAGAAAAATCACTAGAGACAATCTACACTTCTTTCATTCGTCCATTACTAGAAAATGCTGATGTTATATGGGGAAATGCTACAAATTTTGAATTAGACGAACTTAACAAAATCCAAAACGAATGTGCTCGTATTGCTTCCGGATGTACAAAACTAGTTTCACTCGAAAATCTTTCAAATGAAATAAACTGGGAATCTCTCGAAGAAAGACGATATATTCATAGAATGATCTTACTTTTAAGATTCAAAACGGACTAGCTCCAGATTATCTTTTCTCAATTCTCCCAACATCAACTAATATTAGGTACAACCTAAGAAATATTGACAATATTCCGGGAATATATGCAAGAACTACACTTTATTTTAACTCTTTTTCTCGACTGCAATAAGGGAATGGAATAATCTTCCACACGACGTCCGTAACCTTCCAACTATCACATCATTTAAACAAAATTTTAAGAAAAACATACGGCACACGCCTAAGTATTACTTGTCTGGTGAAAGAAAACTTCAAATTCTTCATACTAGACTTCGAACAAAGTGTAGTTCTCTAAACTACCATTTGTTTTTGAAAAACATAACTGCATGACCTTTATGTCTTTGCGGCCAAATAGAAAATAAATTTCATTTCTTCTTCGAATGTACACAATTTGACACAGCTCGACAAAAGTTACTTCGAAATTTAAATAACTTTGACATTGATTTAAATGTTCTACTCTTAGACAACCAATACCTTTCTGACCAAACTAATGACATAATTTTTTCACACGTACACACTTACATCCAAGAGACAAAAAGATTCATTAAACACCCAAACACTTAATCATTATTATATTCATATACTTTATACCTCATTATTTATCTTTCTCCTTCTTCACTACCTTTTCACCTTTCTGTGTTCTTTTCAAATACTATTCTACTTTGTATGATAATATTAATTTGAATGTTAAATCAATCCATTGATATATTCATTCTAAATATATATTCATTCTAAATATATTCAATGGAACATATACAATGTCTCTTAAAGCATTTAAATACATATCAATTTCTGTGTTTTCTTTTTTCTAATATATTTTTTTTTCAAAATTTTTTTTTATATTATATTCGTCTCAGATTATAAAATATGTAATTATTTAAGCGGCCATTACATGTCAATTACTCACTAAGGAGAAGAATTTCATAAGACATGTTGTCTTTCATTCTGATCCTGTTTTTTTAAGAATATTTGAATTGCTCTCTGTATATTGTGAATTAAAACATGTTTATATTCAGAAAAATAAAATATGTTTAAACTCAAACTAAATTCATATACCAAATTAGCTCAAAGACAATCGGATGTTAACCCTTAAAAAATTATTAATAAATGAACACTTGAAATCAAAACGGATACTCATATATAACAAAAATAAATCAGATTCATATTATAAATAATAGTGACTACCTGTGTTAGTTTATTAACCGCTTTCTTTGATGCCTCATCGTTAATCAGTCCCTTTGGATCTTGAAGAACTTCAATGAACTTGTCCAAATAAGAGCTCACAGTTGTTTTGTCGATTTCAAGCTTTGAGCTATGTAAGATTTTATTACGGATTTCTCTCGCCTAAAAGAAGTTTTATAATACATATATTTATGAAGGAAGAGGAATTTCATATAATTCCCATTATTGCGTTTATTTTTTTAATATATGTAACAAATATCTGGTTTTAATAAAATCTTTTTCTTGATTTTTTATACCTTCAATCCTATACTGAAGAAAGTCTGCAGTTTGAATTCATATTTGAACAAACGTTAACATTTCAGGATATCAAATTGATTAAGGTTATCTTTTTAAGAAAATTGTTAAATCATAATTTTAGAAAATAAGTCTATTAAGTAATTAAATTAAATTGTTGATAAATATATAAAAAAAAATATAAATAATTGACCGTTCATGTACTTACTGCATGAAACGAACTGGGAGTTTGAGGATAAATACTGGTCACAAAGTTTTGCATTGACTTGTTGTTTATAATAATGTTCAGCAGACCAGCAGCATCTGTATCTTTAGCTGATATTCCTAGACCTTTAGCTGTTTGGAAACATTTTGCATAACTCCACCCATAAGGATCCGAACACCACGTACGTGGGTCTGTGTTCTTCCATAGGGGGTCTTCAAATGCATGCTCGTCTATAATGGCATCGTAAAATTTACTACAAATGCCATCAGGACATTTCCTACGTCCGTGTGGTCTGCTTCCAAAACAGTTGCTTGAGCTCTTTTGGCGACATGTGCGTCTGCTACATGCCTTTGTTGTGTTGAAATGGTCTGGAGAAAGATTAATTTCCGTACACTGGTTGCACTGTTGTGGTGATCCAGATGGTAATGTCAATATTATCTTTCGAAGGATATTATCACGACATTGTAGTATTTTTTCTCCAACAAATTCTTGAAGACCTTCCTGTAAATATTCTAGTCCTTTTGAGCCTCGCACCCAATTCTTAAAGAGATCTTTATCCAGTTCCTCATCATCCATTGTAGCATTTTTGAAACAGGTCAATCTGAATGAAAATGTATTGTAAATGTGATTATATCTTAATAAAGTAATATGATCGACATTTTAATCATGCTAGTGTATACAAATTCAAATTGAAACTCAAATATCTTTATTTATTTTTTATGCTCATATATTATGCTTAGAGAAAGGAAATCTCATATTTCCTATAATTTTGTTTCTACTATTTTTCATCTTTGATCATCTTTGGTTTAAAGGTAAACAGGGGATGTAAAGTATGAGATAAGTATTTTCCTCAGCGTAGCACAGCATGACAATACAAAACTTAGCATAGCATAGCAAAGAAAGGATAATATAGCAGACCATAAAATAGTGGTCAGTAATTGATAATTAAAGATGTAATATGTTCGGCTTACGCTTTAATCTACAGTATAATGCACACATACTAGCAGTTGACGAAACACGTATTTCATGCAACATATAATTGTATACATTCAATTTATAGTCATACAGTTTAGATGTGCTGCGGTGTAAATTGTTACAGAATAGTCATAAACATATACTTTAAAAATAAAGAAAGGTTTTAAAACATTGACAAAAGTAGGGATCGAACCACAGACCTATTATATATTAGGTAATCACTTAATCCGATGTGCTGTTATGGATGCGACGAGAATCTATACATTAAGCAAGTTCGAATTTTCAGAACATTCGTTATATACTCCATTATATTTTAATCGTAAACTATAGGAACAGAACCGAAGTGGGAGCAAATATTTATGTGAGTGTTATAATATATTCGTTATTGACAGGGCAATGCAATCAGACACTGATAAGGTAACCGTGTACAATGAATATTATTATTATTAAGGTTACAAGAAAAGCATTGATGCAAAGCATCAAAGGGCGTCCAAGCAAGAAATGCAGCAAGTGAAGATGAACTAGTACACATATGATGACAAGATATTCTTATAAACTACCAGAAATGTATACCACTTATGAATGAGCGGACGAAAGACATTGTTCATTATGAACTTTGATTGGCATGCTAGAGATTAGAATATTACTTGTTATTTCTTTATGATCGTGGTTATTAATAGCAACGGATATACATGTATGCAATCATTTATAATCCATATGTGTAACGCATGATCAACACGTACCAAACACATTTGTCCCTTATTATGTACATGTTATCGCTATTAGCGAAGACCCCCTTAAGGTATCTGTTCACACTTTAAGTTAGTAAAAATATGACACTGGTTATATTACCATGTTGATCATGTTGATCATAATTGTTTATTATACAATAATTGTAATATCTATTAATTTTAATTTAAAAAAATACAAATTTTATGAATATTGTTTTCTTTTATTCTTTTTTGTGTTTTATGTGCTATTTTAATACTGAGTTTTTACTACTCTTTTTTATTAAAATTGTAAAATAAATTTTAAGAATTCATTTGTCATATTGACCGACGATTATAAGTCAAAGCTTAACTGGAAAAAGTCAGTAAATTATGGTTTATCTTTCAATATATAATATTGTTTATTCTTAAACCATGTACATGTACATTGTATTTTTCTTTATCATTTTTTAAATTATCGATCAATTGAATAATTCATAAAATCTAATTTGTAACTTTGAATAATTCCTCGGCATCTTTACTAAACACGGATAACAAATTGAATAATTAAATAAAATGTTTCAAAGTTGATAATGTCATTTTAATACCATAAAAAATGTACCTTTTTCTTAATTATTGTACATACATGTATCACGGATTTATATTACATATAAATCCGTGTACATATTTATTGTTTTTATCTCATATAGATAAAATGAAACATGCTATTGTTGTTTTTTTCTAATTGTAACGATATCAAACATCTACTCCAAAACCGGTAGAGACCGGACAATAAACGTGTGGTACTATTCGCCGGTCACTAGTAAATCCTGGTCAAAATAGACCGGGAGAGACCGGCATTTACCGATAGGAGTGATAAAAAGATATATCTATAAATAGGTTTTTGGAATATTTAGGTCATCAACTGATCATTCTAGGATACATGTACAACAATAACATACCATGACATGATAACCGACTGTGTACTACAAAATGATAAATAAAAAAACCCGAAGAGCGCGATTTATTGACGGAAAAGGTTATTTCATTTGTAAATGTTTGCATTGCGAAAATTCATTGTAACATATCGCGACATTTCATTCTTATTTAATAATCAAGCACCCTCATACCGATCGGAATTTTCGGCTTTTATTATGACCGACTAAAAGGCTCGAGAAGTTGCTGTCGCCCTTTCACAAAATCTGATCTCATTCCATAAGAGCGCCGCGCTTCGGCGCGGACGCCAATAACCCTTCACGCAAGTAAGTCGAACACGATAACGTCATACAATTATGAGATAATAGGTTGTGCAAGTTATTCATTTATTATATTTTGCATTTTTATTGCAATAAGAAGAATAAAAGTGAATAATTATGTTCATCCGAGTATAGTACTGGTAACAGACTTTGAACAGCTGATGAAGCGCTTCGGTTATAAACTTTCAAATATGCAATTGCGCACATTTTTTTGTGTGGTTTTAACTTTCAGAATATTTTTTATAGTGTGTCACGTTAGTTTTGATTTTCTCTTGAATGAGCCTGTATAAATAAATTAATGTTTGGAAGTTAATTATTAGAAGTTAACAGAATTCCATTTGGCACATTTGTAACAATTTAGGCTCGTTTGTATGTATCCATCTTCTTCCATCATTATTTATTTAACCTAGCTATACACTAGTTTGACTTTAACTCAGTATGTTGAATGCGAATCTGTGTAAAACGTAATGATCTTCATTAGCAAATTAACAGAGTACTCAAATCCTGTTAATGAAAAATATCAAAGACAAAAATTTAAAAGAAAATAAAAGAAATGCCTTTTCCAGGATTCGAACTCTCATGAAGCGAACACTCTACCACTACGCTATTACGTTGAACAGATAAAAAGTGAACACATTAAATGTTGATGCTGCACATCAAAAACGGCGCTAAATGATATGGAATGATATTGAGGTAAAAATTACACAATGCCTGCTTGCACTTTCATCACGCTTGTTGACAATTACAAACTGCCTGCTTACTGTTACAATTTACTCATTGACACTGCTATTGTGCTTATTGGTACAGTCATAATGCATGCTTGCACTTTTATCACGCTTATTGACAATGATACCATGCTTGCTGGAAGTTACAACTTGTTTGGTGTTTAGTCCCTGATGTCTATATGACTGAATGACCGTGCAATGTAGCGTAATGAAATATTTCAACATGCCGGGACTGTATATAAGCTTTGATATTTCAACATTGCACAATTATCATGCTCCTAGAACAAAACACACGATGTGACCACACAAAATGAAAGATGCAATCAGCCTCTAAGCAAGTTGAAAGTAAGCATAATGTGAATTGCAAATTTGCACATCACATTTTAATACCAGGGGGCGCACGTTCGTAGTTTTCGCGAAATATGCCGGACTTTAATTAGCTGTTGCATCAACCGTTTTCCATTAGTTGTGTCCCTTTGTTTCAATTACACCATTAATTAGGTGGGGGGGAATCCCGGGATCGACTATAGAAAAGCCGGCATCCGGGATCGTATTAAACATATAGTAATCCCGGGAATGGACCACCTACTCTCTGTGTATTATATTATTATTATTATTATTATTATTATTATTATTATCATTTGAATGTTTTTGTAGAGATTTCTAAATAAGTTTGATTTGTAGTAGTTATAAAAAATCTTAAAAAATAACGTATTTTTTTCACAGACAAAAGCGTTAATTAATTGACCTCAGAATGTCACACACACAAAATCTTATTTAATATTGTAAGTACATGTAATGGCAATGGAAGTCGTTGTATATTGGGCATCAATAGTGCTAAATATGCAATAAACTAGAACTTCCACTATCATGGCGTGAATACCCCCGCATACCACTTTGTCAGAATCAACAGTGGCCATTTAGAGCTCAAGGACAACCTCCCTGCCAAACCTGAGGTTACTAAGCCAGTGCATTGCTAAGTTATGTATTCTACATGCTTCAAATGTGAAAATGTCAAAATCAATACATTGCGGACAGGACATTCTTTAGCAATTGAGAAGAAAAGCTTTTTTTGTCAAGGTCCCTGTGACCTTGACCTTTGACCCAGTGACCTCAAAATCAATAGGGGGCACCTTATAGTCATGATCAACATCCATGCCAAATATGAAGACTGTGGGTCAAAGAAATCTTAAGTTAATGGGTGGACAAACTTTTTGAAGTCAAAGTCCCTATGACCTTGACCTTTGATCCAGTGACCTCAAAATCAATAGGGGTCATCTACTAATCATGACTAACCTCCATTCCAAATATGAAGACTGTGGGTCCAAGGAATCTTAAGTTATTGGGCGGACAAGCTTTTTGAAGTCAAGGCCCCTGTGACCTTGACCTTTGACCTGGTGACCTCAAACTCAATAGGGGTCATCTACTAATCATGACTAACCTCCATGCCAAATATGAAGACTGTGGGTCAAAGGAATCTTAAGTTATAGGGCGGACAAGCTTTTTGAAGTCAAGGCCCCTGTGATCTTGACCTTTGACCTGGTGACCTTAAAGTCAAAAGGGGTCATCTACTAATCATAACTAACCTCCATGCCAAATATGAAGACTGTGGGTCAAAGGAATCTTAAGTTATTGGGCGGACAAGCTTTTTGAAGTCAAGGCCCCTGTGACCTTGACCTTTGACCTGGTGACCTCAAAGTCAATAGGGGTCATCTACTTATCATGACTAGCCTCCATGCCAAATATGAAGGCTGTGGGTCAAAGGAATCTTAAGTTATTGGGCGGACAAGCTTTTTGAAGTCAAGGCCCCTGTGACCTTGCCCTTTGACCTGGTGACTTCAAAGTCAATAGGGGTCATCTACTAATCATGACTAACCTCAATGCCAAATATGAAGACTGTGGGTCAAAGGAATCTTAAGTTATTGGGCGGACAAGCTT